AAAAAGTTTTTTTTTTCTGGCTTCCACAATCTTTTACAGGAATTCTCTGATGCTCATTCCTAGATGATGGCTTTGTGCTCTCAATCAGATTCAGATTGTTTTATGTTCTTTCTGGGAGATTAGAGGACATCATCTGGAAAATAGTAAGATAAAGACCATATATAGTTCAGGATTGCCTTCCCAGTTCCAACTGAGAAATTTTCTTAAAGGTGTTTTAAAAAGGCTAAACTAAAAACAATAAATACATCTGGTTCTGCTTGTATATATAAAAGAAGGTGTCATTGTTTTAAATCTTCAGATATGTAAAAAAGAAACATACACTCCATCTGGAGCACATCTGATGACATCTAATTTTTTTCTTAACTGATTTCTTACCCCTTGTAAATCTTTTGATATTCTGAGAACTCAAATCTATCCTGACTCTTATCAATTGTTAACAATCCTGTTACATTGAAAATGTTAAGCAATAGTCATGCCTTTGGAGTGGAAGAAAATACATGGGCCTTGATCAAATTGTAATATGCTTTTCTAAATAGGCTGTGCGCAGAATATTTTTTTCTGTTTCTTGTACATGATACATTATTGTCGCTCAGCAAATAGTTAATGCTCAGCTGTTTAAATATGGAGGTTTCCTTATTTTAACCCTACCATTAAGCAGAGTGGGGAAACTGCCTCAGGTGGCAGATGCTGAGGGGAAGAAAGTAATGCTGAGGGAGACTGAGGACAGAGCTGTATGTCCTGTACTGTACTCTGTCTTGTGTCCCTTTTGCACCCCAGGCCTCTGCTGGCATGGTACAGAATGCTGTTCAGACATCTGATTCAACTGTCCCTAGTTGGCTTCTGGTTGCTGACAAGATGGGTAGATGGCCCTTTGTCTCAGGCACCAAAATATCTTGGGCCATCACTACAAAAAGATCACATTAAAGAAAAGATGTTATTCAGCTACAGGCATTTAACAGGAGAGAGAAATGGATAATGAGTAAACAAACATATGCACCTTTATTTTCTTTTTTCTTTAAAGCAGATAGCTTGCCTGAAGTCTGAGGTATGGGACAAGTCTAATGGCAGAACCAGCATTCGTCTGCCATTTTGAAAGTTATGTCATATAAGCTACAAAGCCAAGCTCACACCATGGGTAAATATCCCACTATTACCGCAGTTCAAAAACTGTGTATAGTATAAGAGTTCAGTTTTGCTAGACTGGGCATCATGGTTTTGAATTCAGCAATGGCTCCTTTTGCAGTTGTAGAACTCCTGCAAGCCCCCTCAAAGGCCAAACCTGAGTATTCTCCAAATGTTTTGTGAAACTTTGTTGTTATTATCTGGGATGGATTTTAATGGACATGGTAAAATGGCAGCATGCCATTTGTTATTATTTTTCCACAGAATAAAATTTCAATAATACCATTTATCACCACAACACTACTATAAAAACAAAGTGTCATTCCTCTTGGTAGTTTGTGTACCACTGCAGTACAACTCAAACTGTAAGAAGAGACTATTCATAATCCAAGGAGACAAATCAAGCAGGTGTGTTACTCACAACAGAAATGTTTTAGCATCTCTCTGTATCCTGGCTTCCACTTTCTGAACTCTCATCTTGGTTGTTAGGTTTAAAGGTTTTATCCCAGAAACCAACACAGCATCCCAACATAAGGCAGGTTACAATGTTCTAAGGCACAAGAGCTCTGCAATACATCACCAGTAATAAGCTAACATGTTGTTCCAACAATTGACATGTCCTCTGGGCTCTCCTTTCGAAGAGCGAGGTGGACACAGTCATCCATGTGGTTGGCAAGCAAGTAAGCACTCCTCCGAGTAGGCCGAGTGTGTAGCATTTGTTCATGCCAGTGCTGTCAGCTCCGCATACTTGGAGACAGGAGTGGAGCCAATTGAGCCTGCTCACTGCCAGATCTTTCCTTAAGGGCTTCCTCTGACGAGGAAAGCTCTTGCGGACAGTGAGCAACACTGGAGGTGGAGCAGGCATGGTGTCTGTCAGCTGAAAGGCAGAACTTGAGAGTATCTGATGGAGCTGAAGAGGGCCATTCTTCTGATGAGTAGCTCAGCTTTGCCCCAGGTCCAACTCTCAACCTGCTGGGCCCCTCCCTGTGGTCAGAGTCCTCCTGTGGATCTTGAGCACTGCCTCCCAGCCTGCTGGGGCCCTCCCTTGGACTCTCCCAGCTCACTCTTCCCCCTCATCTGATGAATTCTCCCAAGGTATCTCCATGGGACTCATGACACTCTGCTCCCGCCAATGGAGAAAGGCAGTTTTATGTTACCCTCTAAACAAGCACACAATCAACTTGTTGAGTTAATGTCATTACAGATAATGATATAAGGAAACCATACAGCATTTCAAAGCACAGGTAGACAAATCTATTAGCAAAGAGCAGTGTATTGAATTATAATTAATGACACCACATGGGCTGATTTTTATTTGTCTTGGAATAATGGTTGGCAACACAACCTAACGAACAGCTATTAATTAATAACTTCCTTCCAACTCACTTCATCGCTCCTGGCTTATTTGATGTCGAAAGTGTTCTTTAATGGGAATAAAAAGAACAACCACTTCATTTTTGTTTGGCCTGTGCTGTAATTAATGTGTCAGTATTCAAATTGATTAAGAGCTGCACAGACGTAATCACATAATCTGTCCACTGAGTAAGCTGAATCCATGCAACAGGCCTCTGTGCACCCAAAAAATAGGATCATTATTATTCTTGACAGTGATGAATGTTATTCTTGATAAGGATAAAACACTTTTTGAAATCTACTACACTCACCCAAGATACCTAAGCAGGTAAAGTTTGGGACACTCGCTTTATATTCTGAGATTTTAAAGAAAGGAACAGATTTTTAAATCATCCGTGTCAATGAATATGATATCACATGCTTCCAAAATGAATCAAAGTATAATTTCATACCCTGAATTTTTCTGACAGTTTGGAACAAACATATAACGCTCTGTGCAATCCTTCTCTTTACTGTCATAGTTATGGGATAGTTACTGTTGTCGTCACATTCCCTCCCCCAGTCTGTAAGTACTGTTAACATTCATTTTCATCATAAACATTGTGAAAACAATGGCTTGATTTTGCAGTAGTCCTTTGTACAATTAGGTTAAGGAGGTAATAAGTCTGCTGCAGGTGGGAGGTGCAAGAAGCCCTTCTTTCCCCAGCATCTCTAGTTAAAGGGCCTCAGGTAGCTGGGATGGGGAAGATGTCTCTGCCACTCAGAGTAGATTGAAAACTGGGCATTAGCCCAGTTCTGGTGAGAGCCAGTGTGGTGTAGTGGTTAAGAGCGGTAGACTTGTAATCTGGTGAACCACGTTCGCGTCTCCGCTCCTCCACATGCAGCTGCTGGGTGACCTTGGGCTAGTCACACTTCTCTGAAGTCTCTCAGCCCCACTCACCTCACAGAGTGTTTGTTGTGGGGGAGGAAGGGAAAGGAGATTGTTAGCCGCTTTGAGACTCCTTCGGATAGTGATAAAGCGGGATATCAAATCCAAACTCCTCCTCCTCCTCTTCTTCTTCTTCTTCTTCTTCTTCTTCTTCTTCTTCTTCTTCTTCTGGGCTAAATTGTCTGACTCATCATAGGAGAGCTGTGTATGTTCAGAGACAGAAAATATTGAGAAGTATCAGTAAAATGCTTTTGTTCTGAGGACCTTAAGGGAGATATATCTATATCTATATCTATATCATCTATATCTGTATCTATATCTATATCTATATCTATATCTATATCTATAGCTATAGCTATAGCTATATCTAGATCTAGATCTAGATCTAGATCTAGATCTAGATCTAGATCTATATCTATATCTATACCTATATCTATATCTATATCTATCTATAAAGTTGTGTGTCCTTGTTTCCCAATTTGATCCTTTTACATGGTTTTTTAAGCTTTGTGGTATTTTATGCATTGTGACTTGCCGTTTTTATTGTTTATAGTTTAGTAATTATTGTAATTGTTAAGTGCAAACTCTCTAATTATTATTTGCTTATATTTAATTTCACTATTTACTATTACTCTAATGGATTGTTGAATATTGCTTTATTTGATAGAAGTTGTTTATTTTAGAGTTATGTTTTTATTATGACTTTTTTGTATTGGATCAGACTGTTATTAGTATGTGATCTTTGCCGTCTATTTTGTTGTTTCTTCGGCTTGTAAACCACCTTGTGTTTAGTAATATAGAAAGGCGGTATGCAAATTAAAAGTGAAACAAAATGAAATGAAACCTGAGGGTCTCATACTTCTTGGGTTAGTGATGGTAGCTTTTTCTTGGCTCTACTTTCGCTCAACCTTCTGTGACTAAGAACAAGCAGCTGGTTGGGTTTTGGACCTCCTATCACCTTTTCATCCAGGTTTTTCCTGACATTTTGCTGGTTCGGCAAAATTCCTCCCTGACGCCATTTTTAAACCTGAAACCGGGACCGGTCAGGATTTTCCTGACATACGGCAAGCCGATTTTTACACCTGTTTTACAAAAGGTTGCTTGCATTTCCCCAGATATGCTTGCCTTTTGTCACTCCTGGAAGAATATGGGAGATTTAATTAAATAACAAACTCATGCTCTTCCACACCCCAGGTCAACAGCTGAGTCTCCTGCAGAATCCCTGAACTTCACTCCAGTTCTGAGTTGCCTTCCATCTCATGGTTACATGACTGTCACATGACTTCCACTTGATGCTCCTCAGCTGCTGCTCCCCCACTCACAAATCATGCTTTGTATGCCGCAGGAGCATAGGAAGCTGATTTATGCAGAGTTAGACCAACTATCCCTCTACTTTACTATTGTCTACACCAGTGTTTCCCAAGCTTGGGTCTCCAGCTGCTTTTGGACTACAATTCCCATCATCTCTAACCACTGGTCTTGCTAGCTAGGGATGATGGGAGTTGTAGTCCAAAACACAGCTGGACATCCAAGTTTGGGAAACCCTGGTTTACACTGACTGGTAGGGTTTCAGATGGGGGACCCTCCCAAACCTGTCTGGCGATGTCAGGGACAGAACCTGGGACCTTCTGCCTCAAAGCAGATACTCTACCATTACCACTGAGCTACAGCCATTTCCAAATGTCATATAGCATTAAGGATAAGCTCAGCTCAGCTATAACTTCTTGCTTGAGAAATTTATACAGCCTTCTTTTCTTCCTTTCCCACTGTTATTGCTTATGAAAAGAATTTTGATTCTCCATGAAATAGGAAGTGAAAATGGGATCTTTAACTTGTCCCTCTATTATTCAAGATGAATGTTAATGATTACAGTTCTATAGTCGTTGGTTTCACGAATTCATTCTCTGACAAAGGAGGCCAGCAATATAGTGATTCATTTAATATTCTGGGGGCCTCATTCCCCCCCTTCTGTACCTTTTAGATAATAAAACTGCTTTCATCACTGGAAATAATGCTTTTCAAATTAGAAGCATGACAGCTGAGAACGGGGAAATATAGTGATGGTAAATGAATTGATTGAACCTTACAGCTTAGGATTCTTAACAGACTGCAGAACCAAGAAAGCCATTTTGCAATGTGTTATAAGTTACATTACACAATGTGATCAAAGCTAATATTACAGCAGTTTTCACAAATGCGTTTAAGAGCTGGTCATCCATTTGTCTCTGATGTTGACAAAAGAGTTCCATAAAATATTCAAGTTGAGCACAAGTTGAGCATTGATGTATCCTTCATCTCCATCTTGAAAGTGCTGAACTCTTTCCCCCTGATATATTAGATGCTGTGATCAGAATACATTTGCCTGCTCAATCTGAGCAACATGTAGGAGTCCTGCTACTATGGCTAAAAACAAAACTGAGAACCCTATTGAATAGGAAGGTTCTGAGCAGAGACCTTTAAAGACAAGTTTGAGAGCCAAAGCAAAAGTCATGAAGGAACTGTGAGGCCGACAAGGATTTTGACCTGGCAATCCTGCTCTAAATATGAGCAAAACACACTTATTTTATACAAGTAAATAACCACTACCCAGTGGCTGTGGCTTGAACTCATGAAAATATCTAGCACTTCACTTAACTGCTAGAGATTTTGGGGGTGCCCATTGAACCTTATCTATTAAATTCAGGTTCCATGCAGGTAGTAATAAGTAAACAGATTTGTTAGCAGGGTTCTATAAAATTGACCCATAATGCTGTCCCACAGGAAGGAGAAATGAGAGTCTGTAGGCTGGCTTGTACTGAAAAGAACATTAATTCACTCTGCCAGAATACAACACAAAACTTGTGTATAGTCAGCGCTTTCTTACCTTCTCCGGTTCTGGTGCTGAAAAGCTGCAGTCAGACAATTATGAATAGAAAAGGAAAGGGATGTTCATGTCAAACCAGTATGAAAAGAACTATCCAAAAGTATTGCACAGAATAGAAGAGACATCAGGTTGACATTGCAGACTGACCTCGTGATGCCAGAAAAAAACACCACTTTAAGAGTAGAGGGACGCGGGTGGCGCTGTGGGTTAAACCACAGAGCCTAGGACTTGCCGATCAGAAGGTTAGCGGTTCAAATCCCCGCGACGGGGTGAGTTCCCGTTGCTTGGTCCCTGCTCCTGCCAACACAGCAGTTCGAAAGCACGTCAAAGTGCAAGTAGATAAATAGGTACCGCCGAGGCAGAAAGGTAAACGGCGTTTCCGTGCACTCTGGTTTCCGTCACAGTGTTTCATTGCTCCAGAAGTGGTTTAGTCATGCTGGCCACATGACCCGGAAAGCTGTCTGTGAACAAACACCGTCTACCTCGGCCTGAAAGCGAGATGAGTGCCACAACCCCATAGTCACCTTTGACTGGACTTAACCATCCAGGGGTCATTTACCTTATTCATTCATTTCTTTATCAGACAGGTCTGGTTTCTTGAAACAAGTTTGTTCTGCTTGAGATGTTAAGGCAACAAGAATTAATCTCCATTTTCAATGTTTTATTTGCTTTTGGCATGACGCTGCACAAGTTTGAAATTGTGCATGAACAGAGAGCTGGAAGAATAATGTTTACCCTGCCTTGTTTTGGATTAGAAAAATACACTCTCTGTTTAATGTCTACTCTCTGTCTCACACACCCCACACATTTTGTAAGTGGTAGGCAACACAAATATCCAGGTCGCTTTCAAAATAATAGTCCAAAACAAATGATAAACACTAAAGTTGGTAATTTTAAACACACCCACTCGCTTAACAGGGGAAAGGGGCATAAAAACTACTTTAGTAGACTGCACTATTTGAACAGCAACAAACACAGCTGTCAGCCAAATGGCTCTTAAAGTTTTAAAGTCCTGTATATAGTTACGCAGCTATTTCATAGCTTCTAAGATGTAGTTTATAGTCCTCTACGCATGTTAGTAAAAGCTCAGCTGGCTTAAGTTCAGGTAACAACGTGGGGTAAGTTAAGGCCACAAAGAGAGTCTGGCAGCTCCCAACAGGACCATGGCAAAGTCAAGTGAAATATAGATACTGTATCTGCATAGCAAGAAGCATGGGGAGAGAATCTTAGGGTTGATCCATATATATTTGCTAGTCACAGGACTATTCCAGCAAGTGGTCTCCATACCTCAGTACAGTGGTACCTCGGGTTAAGTACTTAATTTGTTCCAGAGGTCCGTACTTAACCTGAAACGGTTCTTAACCTGAAGCACCACTTTAGCTAATGGGGCCTCCTGCTGTCGCCGTGCCACCGAACACGATTTCTGTTCTCATCCTGAAGCAAAGTTCTTAACCTGAAGCACTATTTCTGGGTTAGCAGAGTCTGTAACCTGAAGCGTATGTAACCTGAAGCGTATGTAACCCAAGGTACCATTGTACATGAAAAACTAATGCAATATAAGTGTTACATGCATGAGACCAAATTGTTCAGATCATTAGAAATGTATCTGTATAAATGGCACGGTGGCATGGATCAAATTTTCCTGGAATCTTCACCACCAGAATTTATAAATAAAATGATTTCCCCACCAAATATAGTTGTGATTTTATTAAATGCATTGGGCAATTCAATGAACTTTAATTGATGCTTATTTAAGGTTATCACCTTTTGTTTTGTCAATACATCAGATCATCCAGTCAGTGACTTATCCCAAGGAGTCACCAGCCTTTTCAGGCCCATGGAAACGTTTGGATTTTTGAGCAAGTGCTGTGGGCACCACACCCTCTGGTCTCATCAAATGGAATAGTTGTGGGAACTCCATAGACATTTGGCGGGATTTTTGTGTGTGTAATAGTGTTGGTCCTTTACTCTCTCTGTAGACTAATTTCCAGCTTTATAACCAATAGCTTATAATTCAACTGGACTACATGTGAAAGTTTTAAAATCAGTTTGTGGCTACACATATTGGTGGGTATGGCTATTTTTCAAAATGCTTAAGCATACCAAAAGGAGTTTCTCTTGATTGGCCTTCCCTACTCTAGCGCCGAAGAATTGATGCTTTTGAATTATGGTGCTGGAGGAGACTCTTGAGAGTCCCATGGACTGCAAGAAGATCAAACCTATCCATTCTTAAGGAAATCAGCCCTGAGTGCTCACTGGAAGGACAGATCGTGTAGCTGAGGCTCCAATACTTTGGCCACCTCATGAGAAGAGAAAACTCCCTGGAAAAGACCCTGATGTTGGGAAAGATTGAGGGCACAAGGAGAAGGGGACGACAGAGGACGAGATGGTTGGACAGTGTTCTCGAAGCTACCGGCATGAGTCTGACCAAACTGCGGGAGGCAGTGGAAGACAGGAGTGCCTGGTGTGCTTTGGTCCATGGGGTCATGAAGAGTTGGACACGACTAAATGACTAAACAACAACAACAACTCTAGTGCCAGGGCTGGCCAAAGATATTTTGCTGCTTCGGTCAAAGGACAAGATTTGCCTCCATCACCCGATTCCATGAACATAAACTGACTGGACTGCCAGTTGATTCAACAATGGATAACATCTTCCAGTGTACCTGAAGGCAGCAGGTGAGTTTAGGGGTGTGCGTGTGGGTGTGGGTGTGGGTGTGGGGCACACATAGCTATGATCTCCAACAGAGGAAAACAGCCAGGGGGTTCAAGAGGAAAAGTCTGCCAGAGGTTGGGCTACAACCCTTTCAGCTATAACCAGCATGGCCTATAGTCAGGGATCATGGGAGACAATCCAAAACACAAAGGCACCAAGCTAGGAGAATGCTGCTGTGAATGATGTTCATGCACAGCAGATGTAATAGGATTTCAGCAACTGCGGCGAGGATTCCATTCTGTGAGGATGGTACAAACACTTGTTTACTTAATTTGTGAGCTTAGGGTTTGGTTCACAAAGATATGTTCTACCAAAAAAGGGCTAGAGGGTAGAATATTTTTTTCAGAACATCATCTGTTAAGATATTAGATTATACTGTGGAATGACAGAAATCTTTTCTGCCATTTTGAAATTCTTCTCGGGGGGCAGTAATAATACTAATACAGTGGTACCCCAGGTAACAGATGCTTCAGGTTACAGACTCCGCTAACCCAGAAATAGTACCTCAGGTTAAGAACTTTGCTTCAGGATGAGAACACAAATCGTGTGGTGGCGCGGTGGCAGCAGGAGGCCCCATTAGCTAAAGTGGTACCTCAGGTTAAGAACAGTTTCAGCTTAAGAACGGACCTCCAGAACAAATTAAGTTCTCAACCTGAGGTACCACTGTAATAAAATGGCTGAGAAGACTGTGTGCCCTCTTACTGACACCACTGAGATTACCTCCAGTTACTTCTCAATTGGTGAATTGTATTGGATAGTTGCAAAAAAATGTGTAAGTGACTTACAGCACAAAGTCGTAGCTAAGCCTTGGAAGGTCTATTTCAAAATATAATTTTAAAGCACTGGGAGCTTCTTCGGAGAACATGCTTCGTGGTAATTTCAAACAATGAAGCAGTTCTGACTGCAATAAAACTAATAGTAGGGAAGATGTGATACGCATCATTTTTTTCTTTCACGGCACAGCATTTATTTAATTCTGGTAATGATGTTCCTTCTATTCTTCCTCCCTTTTATGCAAAAAGTCAAACTTGAGACCCGACACTTCAGACGTCTCATGACTAATGAGCAGAATAGCAGACTCTACCGAAGCAAC